GCCCGGCCTCACCTCACAACGCCATGGATTCACCTGGTAGCGCCGCTGATTGCTGCTGTGGTGGAGGATTTGCTGGGTGGTCGCCATTTGCCCCTTTACTACGCGCACAAAGAGACTGCTGCTGCCGCTGTCGCCTCTCCTGCTGCTGCAATCTTTGACAATGCAGGAGGCCAAGAAGCTGCTTGAGGAGAAGTTCAAGACTGGCAAGAACCGGTGGTTCTTCACCAAACTCCGTTTCTGAGCACTTTCCGTGCACCAGCAGCGGCGGCACATCAGCAGCGGCGGGGCCCGCGTGACTGTGGCTTGTCCACAACGAACGCGTCGCACACACGGTGCATGGCGCATGTAACGCAGCGGCCAGTGCTCATGCAGGCAACCTGACTCGCAGGGGGGGATACATAGGGCGTACAGAGCAGCCGCCATTGCAAGATCTTGAAAAGCAGGCCATGCACTGACAGGCAGCCAAGTCAGCGCACACGTGTCTTGGGATAGCACATTGAGGTTGCAGCCCTTGCCAGGCACAAGGCCAAGACCCTGTCTGTTCCTTCAACCTGTTTTAGTCACATCAACACAACTGGGGTCCTGCTTTGAGAACTATCGCAAGGCACGACAAAGGATCAATTCCATTACAACATAGCTGCAATGGAGCATTCTGTTGGAAGCAGCGCGACAGCAACTGCACACCCGCCAACGCCAAAATGCATCCTGATGCCCGCTACGAATATGCAGCGCAGTGTGAGTGTCTCTCATCAAATTGCCTGCGCAGCAGCCCCCTCGGGGGCATGTGCGGTGTTCTTGCGCCTCGTGCGGGCGCCCTCGGAACCCAAGCGTTTTGCAGTCAAAAGCAGGGCCTGGCCGTAGTTTGGCCCGCACGATCAAAGGCAGCACGCTCAACGGGGGTGCCACAGCACCCAGCGCCATGTAGGCGAATCTGTAGCGCGCGGCCCGCGGCGAGGGCCGGGCCACGATGGTGGTGCGCTGCTTGCCAATCCCCTTGCACAGGGGTGTACAAACAGCAGCCAGCGAACCACGACTCCGCCGACACTTCCCGGCCCAGCCGTGCAGGGCGCAGCCAACAGGCAGCAGGCATGCCGCGCGTGCCCGCCCTCCAGCGCTGGCCACACTGTGTCAAATCCTCAATCCAAGCAATCAATCAACTGCCGCTACTCCGCCACAAGCTATTGCAGAACCCTCACATCACAGGACAGCCCGTGCACAGCCAGGCCAGGCCGCATCAGATCAGGCGGACCATGGCTGGGGCCAGGGTATTGACTGGAGGGTGGACACGGATGGGGTAACGACACGCTGGCAATGCGGGGCGATTTAATGCGGGCGTTGGCGCCGGTCGACCGGCAACGCGCGTAGCACTGCATGACTGCAAGCGAAATTACAGTCACCACGTCGCAAGCTGCAGCTGCGGCGCTCAGCATGGCCAGCGGGCCCGGTGCCTGGTGACAGGCGCATCAGACGTCCAGTGTCCGGTTGAAGATCCAGCTGAACTGCGTTTTGGCGGTCTTGGCCTTGCTCTTGCGTGCCGCGGCACGCTCGGACAGCTTGCGGATGCGGTCGGGCAGCTTCACCAGGTACTCCTGGGCCTCGGCCGCGTCACCACTCTCATGGCTGCGGTCAGCCACCTGGACAGGTGTGGGTTGTGGACAGTGGGTATTCATAAGGATGTGGGCTTTAGTAAAGCCCATATGCGCAGCCCACAGCTATGCAGCTGTGAGAGGTTTGTCATAGAGCAAAGAGTTTCGTGGGACAGGCCAGAAACCGCCTGGCGCAGCACTGAGCTGCGCAAGCCGCCGTGCTTGCGCCTGCATGCGGAGGAGCCCCACCTTCCACTTCTTGATGAGGAACTCCATAATGTCGGCGTAGTCAAAGGCAGTGTAGACACCAGAGCGCTCAGCCACGGTCGAAAAGTCCTGGCAGAGTTGAAAGTATGGCGCAATAGCAGCGATTCAGCTGGTCGTAATCAGCCTTGGCAAGGCTGGTGGATGCAGCTGGTGCTGCGGGGTACCTCTGACCAAGCCTAATGCACGAATATATTCGACGGTGCGGGTTGTCCACGCGACGGCATGCTCGAACCAGATCTGCCAGGCCCAAAACCCACCGCAAAAAGGTTGCGTCCCGGGTTCTTGATGCTGTGCTCCCCGTCGTCCATGAGGTGCGCAGGCATGACGATCTGCTTGCGCATCATGTCAGCAAACGCCAGGACAGCGCCATCCGGGTCCTTCTCGTAGAGCTTCTCCACAATGCGCTGGTAGGCAATCTCGTGGCGACCCTCGTCCGACGCGATGCTGCCGCAGATCTTGGCCAGCAACTGGAGATTATAGGACGGGCGATGGGGATATTACGATAACAGGGCCGATATCTATACTGCATGCGTCCATACGTCCCCAACCAATGTCCCAGCTTGCAAAGCCTCCATCCATCTCTTTCCTGCTGCTGCAGCAGCAGCTGCTGCCTGTTGGCTGCAGCTGCTGCTAATTTTGCTGCCGCCACGTGGTAGTGGTGGTGGTGGTGGTGCTGCACGCGCTGGTAGCCAACCACCGGTCAGCTGCTGAAAACCGATTGAGAGAATTGAGTACAAAGGAATCACATGAGCATCTGCCGGCTATTGCCTGCTCTCACCTCGTCCCCGTGCTCCAGCGCATGACGAGCAGTGTTTCCGTGGCTGATCTTTGTGGCGCGCTCCTGGAAGCTGGTGTACACAAAGCCAAGGTAGGGGTTGTTCTCGGTCTTTGGGTCCATGCCGCTGCCAATGAGGTTCTGAATTGTCAGCTCAATCGACTTCATGTTGCACCTGTGGAAAGGCGGATGACCAGATGTGTTGCACATGGTAAGGGGTGCTGGCCTTTCACCATGTTGCTGACACACGCTGCGAGAACAAGACTCCTGCACCCAGCAATTTCAGTGTCACAAGCACTTGACAAGCAGTCAATCGGCAGGCAGCAATGGAGCGCGCTGAGCAGTCCTGCTGCTTTGTGAAGGCAGGAACCCCCATGATCCACGCTCCGCATACAGAAACCGCACCAGCAATTCGCCCAGCAGCCCACCTGCCAGTGAGGTACATGTACTTGTTCATGACGTCACCATGGCGGTTCTCCTCGGCTGTCCACTCGCGAGTCCATTTTGCCCAGGGTGTCGCCGCCGCGCCCGTCTCGTCGCGCACGCCGTCCAGGGTGTTGAGCATTGCCATGTAGGTGGGCAGGGCCTCCTCCGTGATCATGTCACCTGGCCAGCCACGATAGGATGAGGTGCAAAGGGAGATTTTCTCAAGAAGGATAAGCCACAGGGTACTCCAAGCTGCCAGCACACGTGTGGAGTGCCAGCAAGGTTCTCGCTGCAGCCGAGTGCCCCACCGCAGCCGTTGAAAACTGCCAGCTGCAACACGCGCTGCTGAACCCACCAACAAAGGTGACGATGTACTCGTCAGGAAGCCCCTCGGTGCGCTTGCGCAGCTCCAGCACCTGAGCAGAGTCAGTTTCACAGCTTCTTTAAGACAGCAAAAGCTGTCAGATCCCATGCACAACCTCCGGCCCATAATGTGACTACCAGAATCGCGGCCACACACAAGACAAAACGGTGCCATCACGTAACTGGACATACAGCAGCACTTTGTAACCTACAGTGCAACTAAAACAGCGAGAAATGGCCCGCAGCTGCCACACTGCTCCGATCTCGACCACGTACAGCCTCAGCCATCTGCCTGAGTTGGGGGCAGCCAAACCACGCGCACAACATCGCCTCAATTCAAGGCGAGTGTGGACCGCACCTGGTCGAGAAAGTAGGGGTCCTCCGATGGCGGTAAAAAGTCGGCCGGCTGCCAGCACTTCTCCACTGGCTTGAGCAGCGGCTGCACCTGAGGGTGCAGCAGGTGCATCAGAGTGATAAGCCTGTGATCACGCAACCTGTAAGCCCAGTCCCAAGATTAAGAGCAGTAGTGTAGTGCGCTGCCTGGCATGCAGATGTCCTGCAGATGTCCTGCATGACGGCGTCTAAGTGGTGGCGCGCAACCTGCGGCGGCGCACGCACCGCGCAATATGCCCACCGCCACTGCACCTCCGCTCCTAGTGCAGCATGTGTATCAGCAGCCCACCTCATTCTCCACGAAAGACCCCAGCGTTGAAACGAGCGCAAGACGCTCGGGCGTGATGCTGTGCAGCACCTGACCGTCCAAGATGATGGGCCCGGTCTTCGACGAAGGAGGCTCAGCCACCACCCTGGCGCTGCAAGAGACCACGCGGCGTCGTCCGCAAGCTGCACAGAAAGAAGCGTAACGCCCGGGTCAAGGCGTGTGCTCGAAAGAGCTGCGTGCCGCTTGGCAGCCCCTGGCAGCTCAAGGTAACGCCCGTGCACTTCTCAAGCCCGCCATTTGAGCCAGATCTGGTTCACCGCCCAATAAGACACAAGTAAAAGGACTCACCAGGGGCAGAGGCCCGCTGGGACGCGCGGCCGAGCTGGGTCGTCCTCATTGCTGCCACTTGCACTCGGTACTGACCTGGATGCGGGCCGCTGGTCAGCAGCTGTTTACCTATGATTGTGGCGACCTATGGCTGTGGCAGCTGGCGGCCTCGCGACGTGAGCGAACGCAGGTGGTGTGGTGCTGCTCCAGATGGAAGGCGGGAGTGAAAAGGCGAGTTGTTGTGAACCGGCAAGATTCACATATAGCGGAATTGAAGAGAGTAGGCCAGCAGGTCGCTGAGCTGCATGGACGACACGCACGGGAAGCGGGACAACGCACCCGGTCAATCGCGCCTCCTCACACGGAGCCTGGTATCACAGCTACTGGGACGTATAGTTGTTATTGAAACTTAGCGATTCAAATACAACGGGCACCGTTGCACGTGGCAGTGCGCGTGTGCGTCTGCAACGTTGCACGTGTCACCGGCAGTGTTGTGTGGGTGTGCTGTGTCACATCAGATGGGCCGCGCTCAAGCTTGTGGCGTTCGTATGGGAATCGATGGAGGTATTATTCCAACCTTTGAGGGAGCCTGACAATTGTGCGATCAATGTCGCCAGTTCGATGACAGCACCTCATGCCTGTGGGTGCGTGCCAACAGCACAGTCGCTAGGCATGCGGTAGCGTCAAAGAGGGTGGCCCTTCAAGCCTGGCGCCCAGTGTGCGAGGCAGCGTTTGTCGATGTGATGTTTCGCCCATGGTTCATCCTGGCGGTGCGTTGCACATGAAGGACAGCACCAGCTGGCGGTCCTGCTGCACCACTTGCAGTCGAGACGCCCTTGCGCATTTGCTCGTTGCTCAGCAGCAAGAGTCCAGAGCCGCCATTGCAGTGGTGGTTTGCAGTGGTGCTGGTGGTGGTTTGCAGTGCTGTGACGAAACTCTAAACAGATTTTAGCACATGAGCTGTTACAAGCGCCTGCTGCCTCTGGCTTGCGCTGGTGTTCCTCGATTTGCAGGGCATTCCAAAATCGCACCATGCAGCCAAGGTTGCCACACACTCAAGGGAAGGCCGGCAGCGTTGCACCATCCAGTGCATGCAGCTTGCTAGGCTCCACTATATCCGCATGGCAATGCCTTGACCCAACTCTGCTGCAACTGAGAGCGGAGCGGGAGGATAAGGCCCGCGTGCGGCGCGACCTGCATGGCTTCGTGTCATATTTACCGGGTCATCCAAGCGCGCCGGGCACTGGAGGGATTTGGGCGGAAGCGCCGGCGGCAAGGAAGGCACACACATGGTGGCAAGGACGAAGCAACATCGGAAACCAGACACCCATGATGCTGCACACACAGCCACGGGGATTGCGGCTTTGTCCGGTTGAAATCATAGTAGTAGGGCTGTGCGAGGCGACAACGAGAGGGGCAGCCAAAGGACGTCACTCGAGGGCCCATCCGCGCCCAGCGGGGCCCCTGGTCCCTCAAAGTTCAAAACTATCGGCGCACATGGTTGTATTGAGTTTTACTCTTGGATGTGGCTGAGGAAGTTCTATACAAAGCAGCAACACTACATCACTTTCTAACCCGCATCACCACCTGGAGAGCGCCAGTCTGATGATAGTCTGGTGACCTTGCCCACCAGCGCGTCAGTGGCAGTTGGTGATCAGGCACAGGCAGCACCTTTGATACGTTTGTTTCACCGTCTGCCACGCTTTTCTTAAACATCCCCGCACTTGCCGCGAAGATGGCGCTCTCGCGTGTGCTGATGCTGCTCGGCGTCCTGGCGTGGTCGTCGGGGACCATGGCAGCCAATGCTACCTTCAAATGTACTATCAAAATCACATATGGTGAGTTGTCCGTGCGTGGGGGGTGCTCCTCCGCCTTGGGAGGGTCAGCGAGTGGTCAAGGCCGCGAGCGGACGCCCATAGGGGCCGTTGGCAGGAGCAAAGCGTTGATCCCGGTAACAGATGATTTATACGCCCGCTCTCCGCAGCTCAACCCCCCCGCGGGCAGTCACCAGACGCGGTCAAGTTCCAGGACGATGCGATTGTGCGAACAAAGGACGGCCGGCCCGTGCAGATAAAGTCCGTCAGCTGGTGGGTGAGAGATGCAAGGCGGCAGAGCAGTTGGGCGATGGCAGGACAGTGGCGTCGGCATGCAGCAACACAGCGTATGTCGCCACGGCGTTGGGCACCCCTTTGGTTCCGGTGGGAACACGCTGCATGCGCACCAGTCGGAACGCGAGCTTGAAAACTGCGCGGTACTATTGTGAGGTCCTGCTGTGAAGCGCCGCAACATTGCGGTGGCAGCGGCGCGAATTGGGCCCGCAAGTTGCGCTTGCCCCACAACCGCCGCGCTGCAGGTGGGGTGTCAACGACAACGGAACGTCCGTGCTGGGATCGCTGTGGTCTGGCGGCAGCGCAGCTGCAACAGACATGCCGTCCATCGCCTTCCAACTCCGGGCTCAGGGTTTGAACGGCATACGTCTGCCCTTCACTTTTGAAGACCTGCGGGCGCCACCCAGGAGCATGTGGGCGAAGCAGGGCTGCCAAAAGGTTTGGGGTTGTTGCCTGGTGGGCACCACTAGCTGGTGACAGAAAAAAGGCTGTGGCTTCAGCACTAATTGCTATTGGTACCTGTAGATCGCTAGGTGCTGCTGGGGAGGCTGCTGATGCCAGCGGCACCTTGAGTCCACATGATGCAATGAAGCATCGGGCACGCTGCCCTGTTGCTTCTCATCACCTCTGCGCAGCTCTTCACCATTTGATTGCAGGTGACGCTCGGCGTTCCTTCGCCGCCTGGCGACGCTCCTGCAGCGCCTGCAGCCCCCGGTGGTGCGCGGTGTGCTTGGTACCTGCCCGACAGCAGCAGCCAGGACCGACTCTTGTGGACGCTGCAGTGGTTTGTGGCCAACGGGTTCTATGTGCTTCTGGAGCACACCCCTGCGGGCAGCGATGCGATAAGCCGCAACGCTGCTGAGTTTTCGAGCGCGTGGCGGTCGCTCTGGCGGGCTGTGGCGTGCCTGCCCAACTTTGAGGACGATCTGCAGGGGCGAGTGTTTGTGGGCCTGCTCGGGGCGCCAGACATCACAGGGCACCGCTGGGAGGCCAGCAGGGGGCTCGACGGCGGCGAGCTGCCCGGTGGGTGGCGGGCTGCGTGCGTGTGGCCGGAGTGGTGGGCGGGCCTTGCGCGCGAAGCGGGTTTGTTTAGTTGGCCTACTTGGGCGGTGATAGCTTATGTGGGCAAGCGCCCCGCATGGGTAAGCCCACCGCGACGGCGGACAACTTGCTGCTAGCAACATCCTTGCTGGCCCCTGTGGCCTCTTGCACCTCTCCTACTTCCAGGCATTACGGAGCTGTACCTTGACACCATGGACGCCCTGTGGGAAGACACTCCCGCAGCTCTGACCTTCTTCATTGCTGGCGCAGGCCAGGGCGGCGCCAGCACCTGGGGCAGCGGCTTTGTCACCGACAAGGCCATCGTCGCGGTCAACGATTACAGCGGTGCGCTCAGGCAGCCGAGCTTTGACCCGAGTACACAAACGGCTGGCGCATGAAATGGAAGCCGGGGATCTTGTCCCCTTGACATGCAAAAAGCTCATTAACTCTCCCACTTGAAAACGCTCTCCACCTCAACTTCCACTCCCGCTTCACAGACCCCAACCCCTTTTTCAAGGCACTTCTGGGGAAGCCTTACCGCGCATCAGTCATGATCAGCCCGGCGGTGTATTCGACACAAGCGCCGTCGCCGCCAGCTGCCTCCTACGTTCCACCTAGCTGGCCGGTGGGCCCTTCACCCGTGAAGCTCCTGGATACAACTTTTGCGTACCTGGCAAAGGAGGGTTTTTGTCTCAACGACGACTGCCAGCGTTTTCCCATCGCAATTGGAGAGTTTGCCAGCAAACTCCATGGCCACACGGAGCTGGCCGCGCTCAATGACTTTGCGGCACAGTTGGCAAGCGCTGGCGTGGAGTACAACGGGGTTGGCACGTGGCGTTTCTGGGGTTTCAATCCTAGTCTGCCGGCAGCCAGCTAGAGCGGCGGCTTGTGTGCCATGCGCACCACCTCGGCGTTACGTTTGATTTTTTTGTGGCGCATCATCACAGGGGTGGCCCCAAGGTTGCCGTGGCTAGTGAGTTGCACTTACCAATATGTCCTGTTGAGGGAACCACCAGGTTTGATGTGATTAATCGACCCAGCATGAGCATGTATGCATAGTGCAACGTGCAGCTGCAGCTGTACTTGAATCTTGTCTTATAGTAAATATGCCAGTCGTAGCAGTCATGCTGACCTTAAGCCTTGCGATGTGTGAGCCAGCTGATGTGGCCGTCATTCCACACGGCAAACATTCACAATTTTGCGCACAAATGATCCCAGCACATGATATTACAGCCTGCAATTTAAGTGCACCATAGAGCAGGGCCCGTCAACGCATATTACACGAGCTGCCATTGCGATCAATTGCACATACAGTTGCCGCAAACAGGAAAATTACAATGAAAGGAACCCTACTGGTGAGGGGGTGATAACAGTTCGGAAGCGTGTTCAAAATAAAATGCAAATGAGGTGATGCTTCACTCCTTTGCATCACACACGCCCTCTGGCCCAATGCCAAAGGTGGCCTCCCGCTCTGCCAGCGAGGGGCTGGCCATCACCTTGGCAATGCGAGTCTCTCCCCGCCCTTTCTTTATCCACAGCCGTGTAGTGGTGGCGTGCGCCATGATGTTGCCGCCGATTGGCTTGATGTTGGGCCCAAAAGACATGGCACCGCCGTCCAGGTTGGCGCAGACCACCTAATGGAAGAAAGGCCCCCGGAAAGTGGAGATCTGTCAGGGCTGGAGCGCGTATACATGTATATCGGCGATCGGGCCTCGTGCTCTGCTTGATACTGGCCGCAGGGCAACTATTACTGATATGTTTTCCACTGTGTCCGTTCAACCCCCCTCTCCTTTACAAAGGCATGCTGACGCCCTCACTGCGGCTCTGAAACGAGTATTAGGCCCAGTACGTCTCTGCCCTCCCTCCCCACCTGATTTGTGACCACCACGGCCACCCCAAACTCGTCTGCCAGCCGCTGCAGGCCCCGCAAGAACTTGCCGAGCGAGTTTTGCCGCGCAGCCAGCTCGCCCCGCCCGATGAACTCAGTGCGGTGCAGCGCCGTTGCGCTGTCCACGACAATCAGGGCAAAGCGGCTGTCTGCCATCATGCCGGCTGCGTGGGCGAGCAGCGTCTGCTGATGGTCTGTGTTGTGGGCGCGAGCATACGCCACGTTGTCCAGCACCTCATTCACGGCCAGGCCGTATCTGAGCAGAGCAGCAGCAGCGCGTTGCGCAGCCAGGTCAGATCAGGGGGGTTTGCTGGTCTGCAAGCAGGAAGGGGCATCGTGTATTGTGGCGTGCTGCAACTCAGAATATTGGGCGGGCTCATGTTGCACAAACTGGAGCCTCACCGCTCTGCGATTTGCTGCAGCCGCTGCGGGCGGAAGGTGCCCTCTGTGTCGATGAAAAGCGCCTTGCCCTCAGCCCCTCCCATGTCGATGGGCAGCTACGTATGTGGGGACGGTGCACAGGAGCGGATGTCAGCAACAAGTGGACCAGTCCAGTTGCACCAAAAACTGGCGCGCATCACATACATGGCAGGAGCACACTGGTTGCTGCGCCCTGGGCTGTTGTCTACATGCGCAGAGGCGCACCTGGCAGGTCACACAAAGCGTGTGCGACAGCTGTGTCTTGCCGCAGCGAAACTCCCCGTAGAGCTCTGTGATCGACCCCGTCTCGATGCCACCTGAGGGAGGGCATTGGTTGGGTGGAAAAAGGCCTTGTGCTGTTGATTTGGTTGTGAAGGGGAGTTTTGCTGAACACGCGGCACCAGCAAAAAAACACGGCCCTGTGCCGGCCTGCATGCCCAGAGAGCGCAAAGTCGGTGGGCAAAGTCGTGCAGCTCGGCAGACTCGGCAGTCCACTTTGGCGCACCCTCCAGGATGTTGTCCAGCTCTTTGCAGCCGGTTGTGATGGTTATGATCTCGCCGCGCTGCTCTGCCACAATTGACGCACTGGTGAAGCCCATCGGGACAATCTTGAAGGCTGTGTAGCGGATACGGCGCGGGCGGGTGCAAGAACGCGTGTTGCACGCAAAAGGGGGTGCTTGTGCGCCATGGTCCTGGGCGTCCCGCTGCAGCCTTGGTGCAGACGCCCTCTCAATGCGGCGAAGCGCCCTCGGCAAGCGGTCCATGACAATGCTCCATGCCCATGCCCTCTAAGACCATGCCCCTGTGGGTCCCTCACCATGGCTCAGGATCTTGTCCACCTTGGCATCGCTAATGCCCTTGATGTTGGCCAGCTCCTTCTTGGGGGCGTGCGCCAATGCTTCGATGGTGTGATAGCCAGCCTCTCTCAGCTTCTTTATGTCCGCCGCCGACACTCCATGAGACTACATGGGTGGGGGACGGGGGAGCGCACAGGCGTTGAGGGCCTTCCGGGCAGGAAGCGCTGCGCTGCTGCGTGCAGCGTTGTTAGTGCGGCGCGTGCACTTTGTGCCTGTGGCGCCGCCATGGTGACCACTTGAACATCGCCAAGAGTGCTTTGTGCAGCTCAGAGAGGCAAGCATGCATGATCCCTCGGCATCTTTGTGTGCCGGTTCAGTGCCACGGGCCGCAGCCCGTGCCGTGCGTGCTCTGCCCTCACCTGCAGCGCATCAATAGTCATGGGCCCGGCCATCTCTCCCGCTGCCTGATCCTCTGCATGAACCTCCTCCTGCATTGCCTCCATCGTGCTCGGACCGGGCTGCTGAACGCTCGGGATGGGGCAAAGGGGAAGTAGATCAAGCGTGGTGTTCAAGATGAGCACCCGCAGGATTTGAAATTATCACAGATATGACATCGTCAAGGGGCAGAGAGGAAGAACAGGCTCGTCAAGTTTGAAAAATTGGCTACGGCAGCTTCTGTGCACTACCAGTCCTGTATGATGCTCTCCCCAGTATGACACTGGCTTCGCTGCAATATTTCGCGGTCGTGCTATTTCATCTGATACGAGTTCAATACAACGTGCAGAGTTTCTGATGATACCGGTACGCGGTCGCATGCATGTCATCGTGTGCACACTGGGTACCTGATACAGGTATTCGGGTTGCTAAATTTGATGTTTTGCGATTAAGGCTTTACATTCTTAGTCGTCATGAGCAGCAGAGGGGCCAGGCCAGATCCAGATCAGAGGCAGCTAAGGATTGGGATTAGGATTGTTACAAGAACCCGCGGTCGCCCGCTCCTGGAGCCGTCCAGGCTCATGGGATGTAGCGTTGTATCATCAGCATTGTGTGACTGGGACTCAAGTGGCCAGCGTTCGGCGTTCAGTGCAGGTGTGCACACAGGCCCCATGTGTGTGCAAGTCTGCGCTGCACACACGGGCATGCATGCGGGAATGTGCAGGCAGGTTCACAAACAAGGGAGCAAAGCGCGGCGAGGCATGTTTGAGCTTGGCGGGTGTCCGCCCTCGGCGCCAACGCGCATGCCTAGAGCGTCGGGCGGCGCGCCGGCCTAGTCGGGCGGGCGCATCCCGCACCCCGTGCCCTTCCTGCCCTTTGTTTGAGCTTGGCGGCTGTCCTCCGCGCCCACGCGCCTGCCAGCAAAGCCTGTAAGGTGCCACAGCCCACGGCCAGGCAATTTCACACCCCCCATGCGGCGCCCCAACCACTGTGGCGAAGTATCAAAACCAGCGCGTGGTGTTGCGGCAGACCGGCAGCGCCCATGGCGCCGACAGCGGCCACACGGCCGCAGCTTTGCTTTGCGTTTGTTTGTACAGAAAATCAGACGTCGAGCTTGTGGCCAGTGACCGAGAGCAAGGCTCTGGCAGACACACAGGTACCAGGCAGGGCTGCGGTCAAGGGACACCCCGAGAAACCGCCATCATCCAAGCTTCCCTTCCCCGAGAGAGAGAGAGCGAGAGAGAGAGAGAGAGAGAGAGAGAGAGAGAGAGAGAGAGAGAGAGAGAGAGAGAGACTACGCTGACGCCTCACGCGGCTGAAAGCCACGCTGCAAGCGGCGTCGCGTCGGGCTAAGGAGAGGGGTGTGTGTGGTGAGCCGCACCCCCCCACCGTAGGGGACCGAGGGGCATGTTCACGTGACGCTGCGCCCTTGACGCGGCCGTGACGGCGGGCAGTTGTTTGCATGCAGCAGTTGTTTTCGGCGGCCCCAAATAGCTGTCATGCTCTCCGCTGCGTGCAGGTTGAGGTGCTTGAACAGAGCCTTGTGTTTCTCTTTGGGTATCCCTAGATCAGCCGTGCTCGTGATCATGCCTGCGCACATTGCGCCCCCCACACCCAGTGTAATCACATGGAGGTGGACCGGCCGGCGTGCTTCCTGCAATTCTGCAATGAGGGCGGCGTGCTGTGCCGTGGCCGCTGCAATTGTTGGGTCTTGGTTTGTGTCCCTGCAGTATTTGATTTCCACAATGTCGATGTGTTCCGCCAATCCTCTGCCCGCTGTCAGTGCAGAATGATGTCGGGAACGCTGTATGTGCCCGCATCTTTCAGGCGCCGTTTCTGTGCGGGTGTCACGATGGAGCACTTGTTGAAGGTGCGGCGGTGCATCACCCCATCCTCTTTGCAGTTTTCTGCTGACCCCAAGTCTGCACACTTGATGCAGCCGCCCATCGCGCCAGCCTCTATCGCTGCAAGGATTTATCCTCCCTGCACGGTGGTGGCGAGAGGTGTGCTATGCGCTCAGCGCCGGGCATGACAGCATGGTATGCCCAGCAGTCTTGTCTGGGTCTCCGCACAGGCGGCAAGCCGTGCTTTTGCTTGTTCCCCACTTGTGCAGGTTGTGCATGGTGGGGACCTGTCCGCATCTCCACCGCAGGCACAGCCTCAGTTCGCGCGGCAACACGGTGCCCCACTTCTGAAGATAGTGCCAGGCGGCAGGGTGCAGGCTGGGTGCAGTCTCGCCTTCCCCCCACCTCTGGTAAAGTCGTCGGGGCAGAGGGGGGGAGCCCGGCACCACGCGCAAAAGCGGGGATCCATGCATAACACGTGAGCGATCACAGCAGGGAATGGGGAGCGCCAACCCGCAGAACGCACACGGCCACAGCGACCGCGGGGTAGGGGCTGTCACACGCGTTGAGGGCCCCTTACTGTTGGGCTCCGCCCAGCTGCCCACCTGGCATGTGGCGCGCATGCACCAGCTGCGCCGTGACAGCTGTGCCCAGGGCGCTGGCTGGGCGCGACAGGGCGCGCACCAACCATCCATGCAGAAACCCCTGGCCCATTGAGAAGAGGGTCGGCTTCACATCAGGGCCCCGTTGCCCTTCGGCTAGAGGCAAGGTCTTGAAACACATGCACTCCAACGCCCGCACGGCAGGGCCCAGGCCACAAGACGGTCCGCTGATCGCGCGAACTCCGGCCCCTAAAGGTCCCGACGAGGATAGAAAAGCAACACGCACCCCGCACTTCCTGCATACCAGCACCACGCGCCACTAAGGCGCCGCAGTCACCAACGCGCTCCAAGCGCCCCGCCGCCACCGGTGGACGCAGCGGTACCACTGCTTCCAGCGCCGCCGCCCCCACCACCGCCACCAGCAGCCGCCGCCACTGTAGGATTAGGATTGTTACAAGATCCCGCGGTCGCCCGCTCCTGGAGCCATCCAGGCTCATGGGATGTAGCGTTGTGGCATTCACGTTGTGTAACTGGGACTCAAGTGGCCATCATTCGCCGTTCAAAGCAAGTGTGCACAAAGGCCCCACATGTTTGCAAGTCTGCGCTACACACACGGGCGTGCATGCCGGCACGTGCATGCAGGTTCACAAACAACTGCACTGTAGCCCGCGCCAGCCGACAAGCCCCCAGCTTGAACTTGAGAAGCGGCTGCGCGCCGGCCGACGCCGCTGCTTGCGCCACCCGAGCAACCACCCCGCCGCCACGCCATCGCAGCTCAAGGCCAGACAAGCTCAAGGGCTGGCGCTGGCCGGGGAATCACGAGGGGCTCGTGCCGGCGAGCTCAGGGGCATGAGATTGGGCGCTGTGCCAGTCTGCGCGCACCGCACGCTCCACGTCGTTGATGACGTCATCAACAACGTCAGCCGCTGCAAACTATCGTCCCGTCACCTGCCGCCGGCCGCGCAGGCGCCACGTCGCCTCCAGGACCGCAAGGCGTAGGTGCGCCCACAGCTCCCCACTGCCTGGGGCCGGCCACCAAGACGCATGGCTGACCTGCAGCCACACCTCGGGCGAGAGAGGACGGAGGGGCGGGCCCGCCCCCAGTGCGCGGCCACCTGCGCAGATGCGGCCGCCCCAGCCCGCCCAGACGCGGCGTCGCCTTCAGCGGGTGGTGGGGCCACACGCTGGCAACCAAAGCGAGGCCCCCAGCCCCTCGAGGACATTCGAGGAAACCTCGCCCCCGCCGGGGGGCCGTACAACGGGTGCAATGCCACCTGAGAGCGAGCAGTGATCTCCCACTGTTTTTCATTACCCACCCTTGGGCTCCTCCTTTTGTAGCCGCCCATCTGACGCCGCTCGTGCGGGTGCGGCCAAAATAAGAAAAAAGAGACGCTGCAGCACGCGCTACTGGAGTGCCCGGCCGTGCGCCCAGCTTTAGAGTGGCTGGCGCAGGTATGGCCGCGGATCGACGGGGGCCATCCCCCCCCGCTCACCGCGGAGGTGTGGCTGCTGGCGG